CAGTGAGCAAAACTGATCCAGGCAGCTCCTGAATGAGCATGGCAGTGAACCAGCACTCACTGAGCTCGTACAAACCATATGATGGCAGCTCTATAGGTAGCTACACACAGATACACACTATACTATAAATATATTATATTTAGTGCTTCCGTCTGGGTTAAAACCCTCCACAGATATCCTTTGGGGTCACTAATGTAATACTCCAGCCTATTTTAGACAATGCAGGGTTCAGGCAGAGTTTGCTGTTGGTGTCTTTGGATGCACACAAAGCTCCCTTTTGTTTTCTCCTGCCCGTATTTTCAGCTGTTACAGTAATTGTACTAATGAGGTTTAGTCTTTAAGAAAACTGATGGATTTGGTCCAGAAGGGCACTCAAGAGTTAAGGACTGAATCAGAAGGACTGAATCACTGTTAATCTAATATTGAGCATAGCTGCAGTGTAGGAGAAAGAATAAAGTGCTGATGTTTGCAGTAAACTGTGCCTGGATATCCTCATGGAATGAAATAAATGGAGAAGAGTTTCCCTTGGGCAATGGTTTGTGCCATGTGTCCCACTGAGTTGAGCTGTGCAAAAGTTGACTTCCACTGGGCCAATGTCACTGTGAAATAGAGATTGTTCTGGTTTGGGTTCCACAGAGCATTTCCAGCAGGCATTACATTTAGCCAGCAGGAAAAGGAAGAAGGAGGCAGCAGCTTTTCTTTTAACCTTGAGAAATTCAACAAAGGCCGAGGAATCCCTGACATTCTGCACGTCCCTTTAGGCTTTCAGTGGTGTGAGAAATGGTGTCTGTCCTGTGATGTCCCCTTCAAGTGCCTTCCAAACTCACGCTCACAGCCCACAGAGAGACATTCTTTAAGTGGGAAACTGAAGGACAGTGTGGTTGAGGAAAATAGCGCCGGAGTAGTATTGGACTGTTGAAACTTGCTGTCCTCAAGATGTAGCTTTGTCCTCTCCAGTCATCTGTCTCTGCCCTGCTGCTGTGCTGCTAAAACATGGAATGCTTGTGATCGCCCTCCAACCCTTCAAGGCTTTGTTGGATGAATCTGTTTAGCCCTTACACTGGAGCCAGAAGTGTGTTTGCAAGACTTGAGATGAAGTCCTGCCAAGTTTCTCAGCTAAAAGTGTGAGAGTTATTCCCTGGCATGCTTTCCAATTAAAAGGAAAACAAAAAAATCTTGATTCAGAAGGTACTTAAATGTTAATCTCAGCAAAGTATAAACCTATGAGTAAATTAGGAACATATTTCCCTTTTCTGATTTCAGTAACAAAAGAAGGATTATTTGGCTTTCCTGCACCAGGTTTATGGGTTTAACTATTATCCTTAATTCTGAGGAATTACAGAAGGAAGAAAAATATGAATAAGAAATTCTTGAGTATCAGAATTTCCTGATTCCAAGTATCTGTTTCTCCAGATGCCTGAACACTTGATTTTTGTGGGAGCAGACCCATGACCCTCAATAAAATAAACTTGTTTGTGTGCAAAGAAAAATAATGTGCAAAGTTTAGTGTGTAGCAGTTTCTGACAACAAATGGACTTGAGTACTGAGACAAATGGATCATGGGCACCAGCTGTGGAACTCACAGCCATGTCCCTCAGAAAATCTGGACAATAAACTCCCTGAATATTGCCTATTAAAGGGTTATTTGATTATCATATAGAATTAATTTATAATCCTGGGTTATAAATCAGCATGACTGAAGTAGGGGACAAACAGCGTATGAAGTACATCCAATTTGGCTTTTGGTTGCAAGACCTTGGAAGCTTTCTTAGACTCTTGTCCAATGGTTAAAACCTAATTTAGAGCTGGGAAATATAAAATGCATTTCTTATTTATTACAGTAAGAGCTTGGTGACTGTAGACAACGCTCTGCAGACAAATTCCAGCAGAAAGAACCATCCCCCTGAGTATGTTGCAAAATAATTTGGACAGTGTAGAGACCAAGGCAAATGAGGTTATTTAGGACATTAGTGTGAGAATGGCTCATGAGTTTGGTGTACATTTAGGGTTCTTTAAATGTATAATTTTAAAAGATGAGATGAAGGGTGATAAATTGAGTGTCAATATCTTAGCTTTTCTGTGTTGAGTACAAATATCTGACTTTCTGTCTGTTGTATACTTTCCCTCAATCAGTGGAAAGCAGCACTAAAGAAAAGGAAGTAAAATGCAATGTTTGAAATGTCATTCATGCCACAAACTTACTCTTTTGCTGCACACAAAGCTGCAACCTCTGTTTTCTTCATCTGGCCCTGGACTCTCATGAATCCTGCTTCAACACTGAGTCTTCATCTTCCCCGAAGGTGGCTCCTTGATTTGCTATCTCCAGGCTTATTCTGCCAAATGAAAGCATGCTCACAGCTTGTGTGGTTGCTGGGGCTCTTAGGGATTGTCTCCTCACCTCCAGGCTCCCAGGGCTGGTTATGAGGGGTGTCTTTCAACCAGCAACCAGCTTTCTTCTCCTCAAATACAGCTGATGCAGCATCATCCCAAACCAGCTTCACTGTCAGAGCAGCAGTGACTACAGATGACAGCTCTGTGTGTCAGGATGTGTTGAGGCTTGAGGTGAAATTACATTGTCTCAGTGCAATACACAAACCAAGGTGCACCACGTCCCCAGCAAGGCTGAAGGAGAAGCTCCTGGTGCCTCCAAAGCCTGCCCAGGTCCCTTTGGTCAGTAGATGACTCCCTGTACTCTCCCCACCAACTCAGCCCATGGCTGAGACTCTTCAACAGCTCTGTAATAACCTGAGAGGGAAATTGGGAAAGAAATCTGAGGATTTACACCCTTGGATAATTTTTTACCCTCCAAAAGACAGCTGTGGTCTTCACATCAACCTTAGCAATGCCTGTACTCCAAATATTACATAATACTCAAATTTGATCTCTTGATTGCAGATTTGGACAAAGATGTAGCAGGACCCCAACAATGTAAAGGACAATTTAAAGATACTCTGCCTTTTTATAAGTTAATGAATAATGATTCTGACAATAATTAAAATTCTAGTTTAATTTTCCCAGAGTGTATCTTGGCCTGTAAGGGTCTTTAAATACCTGAATCCCCTTTCAAGCAGCATACAAAGCTCTTCATGCTGGCAGCAGAAGACCAGAGAGTGCAGGCTATGTATGGGGATTTCTGCCAAGGCCAACTGTGCTCCCAGACAATGATAGCAAATGTGAAAGTTTTGACAAACAAACAAACAGAAAAATAGAGGTCAAAGTCCTGAATCCCAGCATATGAACTGCTAAGCATCTTCTGACATGGGAGGGTCAGTGCACATGTGGTCAAAGTTGAATGTTGCACCAAGACTGTAAAGGTTGCAAGGTGAAAGAGACAAAGAGGCTCAGTCTTCATTTCCATACAAAAAGAAAAATGGATTTTTACTGTGAGAGGCAGCAGTTAGTTGGGATAACTAACTATTAGTAGTTATTAACCATAACTATGACTTGGCCTTCCCAGGCCATCCTTGGCCTCTCCCTTGCTCTGGGAGATGACATTCTCCTTTACCTCTCTTGCCTCTCCTTTACCTCTCTTGCCTCTTCCAGGTCTCCTCCTTGACTGCACAATGATAATTTTTTTCCAGATGCAGAGGTTTGATGTGCTGAGTTAAAACCCAAATCTGGAAACTGGGAGAAATTGGAGAGACTACAGTTGAATTCTCCACAACATTTGTTGAAAGTGAATAGGCAAAATCCACTCGTCTCATTGGTACTGAGTGATCAGCCCTGCTATGAGTTTAAAGGGAAGATCTTTCCCAGAAACAGCAGGATGATGATTCTTTAAGTGCGATACTGCAATTTGTCAAAAATGAAACATTAAAGTCATGTAGGGATTGAGAAACTCTACAAAATCAGCAATGTTTGGCAATGGAGTGAAGAGTCACATTAGAGCTGAGGAGGCTTGTTTGCTCATGCCAACTTTTTCTTGAACTATTTTCAGTTCTCATAAGGTTGTAACCACAAAAGAAAGACATTTTAGCCTATCAAATCCATTTACTGAGATATGACATGCGGAATAGTATTGCTTATAGACAAAATTTAGTGGGACGAGTTCAAAATCTACTCTGAAACACATGTGTAAATCTGCACAGGTGAGTTCCCTTCTCCCAAATCTAGCAGGGAAAGGACCACAGGTAACATCTTTTAGAAAGACAGCAGGCAGATATGGAGCCCTATCTTTAACTTCTCGAATATAAGGAGAACTGTGTAATTAAGAGGCTGTTTGGGCAGAAATTCCTGCTGTTCATCACTGCTCTGTGAGGGATCAGGTCTGTCCCAGCGAGGTGCTATGCACAGGTTGGCCCCCAGAGCTCTTGGTGCTCTGGGCACCAACGTTTGCAAAGTGCTGCTTTATTCCAGTTGTTCTCTTGTGCTCATTTACAAAGGATGCATGCTGTGGACACTGGCAAGATGTACAGATGAAAAAGAGGACACAAAGATTATAATAACGTTATTATTATTATTATTGTTGTTGTTGTTGTTGTTGTTGAAGGTAAACTAATAGCATATATGAAGGTTCTAGCTTTGTACTGTTGAAGGTTCTAGTTCTACAAACCTTCTACTGTTGAGGGTTTGTACAGTGTGTTCAGCTTTTACTTCTATGAGTAGTTTTAGAGGAACAAAACACCCCAAGTTTGCAGTGTAGGGCTGAGGTAATTTCCCCAGTGATTCACACTTCTGTTAGGTAATTTGTGCGCCAAGAATGGGAAGGCAGAGAGGCTGTGAGAAACAGGAGTGGTGTGCAGAGTGAACACATTCAGGAGTGAATGTGTTAAATGTTTTCATCAGATAGACACACGAAAAAAAGGCGGATTGTGGATCTGCAAGAAAAGTTATAAAAGAGAGTAGGAAAGACAGCACACAGTTCGCTTTTTAGCAGCTTTAATGTTCGAAAGAATGTGATCGCTGTGGGCAGAGCCCACTGCAGCGGGACCTCCCTCACAGGCCGCGATAAATCCACTTCCCCCGAGCGGGGCAGGCGCCTCCTCGCCGGGACAGAGCCCCGCGGCTGCTCTGGGGCAGGACAGCCATGTCCACGGGCAAGATCTGCTGCCTGGTGCTGCTGTCCCTGGCCGTGCTGGCGGTGGCCGTGACGCTCGTGGTCATCCTGAGCCAGCCCCGGTGCGCTGCCCAGCAGTACCGGCACGGCGCCGTGGCTGCCGACACCGAGACATGCTCCCTCATCGGCCGGTAGGTGCGCGGAGCTCGGTGTGGGGCTCCCTCATCGGCCGGTAGGTGTGCGGAGCTCGGTGTGGGGCTCCCTCATGGGCCGGTAGGTGCGCGGAGCTCGGTGTGGGGTTCCCTCATCGGCCGGTAGGTGCGCGGAGCTCGGTGTGGGGCTCCCTCATGGGCCGGTAGGTGCGCGGAGCTCGGTGTGGGGCTCCCTCATCGGCCGGTAGGTGCACGGAGCTCCGTCCGGGGCGTGGGCTCCCTCATGGGCCAGTAGGCGCACGGAGCTCCGAGGCGGGGGCTCCCTCATGGGCCGGTAGGTGCACCGGAGCTCGGTGTGGGGCTCCCTCATGGGCCGGTAGGTGCACCGGAGCTCGGTGTGGAGCTCCCTTATGGGCCGGTAGGTGCACCGGAGCTCGGTGTGGAGCTCACGGACGGGACCCGCACTCAGCCAGGTCCCGCTCCGGTGCCGCTCCAGCCGGGAGAGCAGACGGAGCCTCCGCCTCCGCGGATGATGCTTACTGTCGTTGCAATGTCCCAAAAATCTGCAAACCCTTGGCCTTTTGGAAGGTATAAATATTTGTAGTATGCAAGTATAATGCTGGTTTTAAGTGGGGACGGGAGAAATTTACTTTTCGTGGCGTGGTAGATCTGTCGGATAAGGGACTTAGAGGAGCTTGCAGAGAGCTGCAGCCAGGCTTCAAAAGAGACAAGGAAGGGAAGGCAGGGACAAAAGGTATCCCTTCCTTTTGGGGGTCTGTTCTGGACTGAAGCCTGCAGCAAGTGTGTCTGCTATGAAGAAAAAAGCAAAGAGCAGATTTAGATTTAGCAGATTTTCTACAGTCAAGACAGTAGAAGTATAAAAGACATATTTACACCACTTGGAAAGAAAGATGTACATTAAAAAAGTTCTCAAGATGTCCGGGTTGTACACCTTCAGTTTGGGTAAAACTTGTCTCTCAAGCATTTTGACTTCCATGTGATTATTTTACTATTGTTTCAATTATTAAATATCCATGAAAGCAGAAGGATGGAAGTTTACATGTGATGCCGGATGCTCCATGATGGATGCTGTGTGCTTTGCCTCATGGCTGGGGAACTGAAATGAGACATGGTGCCATAATATCACACTTTGATTCTGGCAATGATGTACAGCATTTGTGAGCAGCTGGAGAAAATATACAGTGGCTGCACGTATGTCAAGCAGTGAGATGGGGTTTTTATGTGAAGCCACATGTTCTTCAGAAAGCAGAAGTACTTTTAAAATCACTATTAACGGAAAAAGAGGAAAATACATAATTGGATTGCCCAAAGAATCTGCTGGGGAAAACCATTGCATTTGTTTTTGCAGCTATTGTAAACTTTAACTTGATGTAGTGTGTAGTCAGCTGGAAGACGTTGAAGTGAGAGGCACGGAAATCTGCGGTCGGTGAACAACTGAGCAGCTTTGTCTCGCTGGCTGCTGCTGCTGGGCTCTCCCTGGTTTCCTTCCCTTCTCTCAGCAAGGAGTTCCCCAGGCTTCCCCAGCCTCCACCACAGCTGCACCCCCAGCCTTGCTGACAGGTCTGTGCTGTCCCTCCACTCCCATGGACCAACTTGAATTTCCTACAAACAGTCTGCCAATGATCCCCACAAAATCCTGCCCTTGCTCCACCTTCCCAGCTCATTTTCCCTTCCTTTTGCATCTGCACATCAGGTCCTGCTCTCTCCTCCAGCCCTGCCAAGCGTCTGGGATGTTCCCAGCCACGGCTGCTCTCCTCCTGTGCCTGGGCTCTGCCCTGCTCACCCTGTGCCTGGTCAGCCCCATTCCCCTGCTGCTGCATGAGTGCTGCTGCTCTTCCTGGTGTCCTTTGCCTCCAGCCATTCTTGGAAATCTTTGTGCTCATTTCATGCTGTCCTTAGACTCAGAATGAGACAAACTCCTGTGTTGTTCTCCCAGCTGCTTCTGTGCATGTCCTTATAAAAGACAATAATAAAAGTAAAATTGCTTATAAAAGTGTTCGTCTGCAAGAGAGCTTGGGACCAGAAGATTTATATTATATTTACCATTTTCCTTGTAGACATATTTCTTTCTCCATCCCACTGGCCCACAGTGGTGGCTTCATTCTTCTCTCTAGGAAGCTCATTGCATGTTCTGCTCTGCATGTGATCCTGTTCATTTTCTCCCAGACATTTCTGTGCTGTTATACCTGTGTGTCACTTTTTAAGCTGTCAGCTCTCAGCACATGATGCTCTTTAGTGCTCTCAGCACTACATTAGTTCTCAGAGCAAACTGCCAGGTGAGGAATTGATGTTCTTTCCCTGCTGAGGATCCCTCAGATGGCAGTGGCAGTGTGAGAATCCCTCAGCACAGGGGCTCTGGCAGGGGCTCAGCCTCTCAGAGCCATCAGCTCTGCTCTGTGACCTCCTGTGTGACTCTGCAGGGTGACTCAGGCTCCCCGATGGGAGCACCATGAGATGATAAGCACACAGCTCCTTCCTGCCTCATCTTTGCTGAATAAGATTTTAGGAATTTTGTCACAGCAATAGCAATAAAATCCAATTTCTGAGAGCAGTCCTGGCCATTAGGCCCTGCTGTCCCCACTCTGAACTGGCAGTTCATGTGACACTTCAGGAACAAGGTGAGAGCAGGGCAAAGCCAACAAAGCCAAGCAGCCCTAGATGCCAGTCCCCAGATAGCCTACAGGGCTGGTTTGTCCCTGCTCCTCCTCACTGACCTTGCAGTCCCTCTCTCCTGTTGTGACCCCACAGCCTCCTCTTTCATCCTGCAAATCCCCCCAAGCTCACAGGAATCCGTGTGGGGGATGCTCACAGAACTGCTCTGGTGCCTAAAGCCTTGGAATCTAAAAGCAGCCCCCAATCTCTGACTTACTCACAGATTTTATTCCTTAATTTAAAAATTGTGTTTATTTTAAAGATAAACTCAAACAACATGCTCTGTGAGTTGTCCGGAATGAAATTAAATTATACTCTGTTGGTTTAAGATTCTTCCATTTGGGAGTCTTTGTGTGTTCCTAATAGAATTGTCAGTTGAACTCACTGAGAATAACTGAACTAAAACTCTTGCCCGAGGAGGAATCTTGTATTTCAATGAGTGGGATAGTGGGCTGGGGAAAACTCCTCAGGGCCCATGTGTTTTCCAGCTCTGGAGATTGTGCTCATGTACTCTGGATTTCTGAAATCTTTATGGAACTCTTTGGGTCCCTGCAGAAAGTCAGCAATCTCAGTGAGCCTTCAGCCTGTCACCACCATCCTGAGCTAAACTCCCCCTCAGCCATCAGTGCCCAGCTCTCAGTGCTCAGCAAGGTTGGGTTTCTTGCTGTGTTTGTTCTGCTGGAAATTGGGGACTGAAATCAGCCTTGTACAGCTGCCTGGTCCAGACTAAAACCCTGCCCTGGGAGAAAACTTGTCCCTGAATGAAGTGAAACATTGATGAATTTGGGATGGGAGGCTAAAAGGAGAATCAGGGCAGTTTTTACCCAAGGATGTGAATTTGGTACCACAGCCCACCTCACTAATTTCTCCTCATGTCAAGAGCCCTGAGGAAACAGGAGATGATTGTCCTGTGACAGTAAGAAATGCTCAAACCTCACCTCCAACTCTGAACTCTTGTTCCCTCCTGGAAGAGGCTCTTTTCATCAAGCATGCACAAAGCTCTACATTCCCTACCAGTGTGCTGTTTGAGCTCTGTCATCCACTGCTCTGCATCCCTTTGTTTCCCAAATTAGCAGAAGCAAGAGCCAGCATAAGGTCAGGGACACATTTAGGAAAAATGTTCATTCCCAGCGATGGGATTCACTGCAGAAGGAGAGCTGACCTGGCTTGGCCCAGCAGCCATCTCTGATCCCACTCCTCCAGTGAAGCCTCACACAAACCCTGGGAACCAGCCTTTGAAATCAACACCCCCGGGGGGAACAGGGTGTGGGGAGGGTGAGAATGGTGAGACTTTAACAGAAAAAGTCTGCAGCCCTGGGAAACTCAGCTCTAACCAGAAAATCTGATGCAAAAAAATCCTTTTCAGTGATGGCCCAGCAGATTTCTGAAGAATGTTTACCAAATCCCAAAGGATTTGGTTTCCCTTCTTGGACATTTTAAATTTGGTAACTGGCCCTTTTTTACAGAAGCAGTTGTTGCTTTTGCTCTTCAGAAATCCTATGGAGGCAGCTGCTGTGTAATGGGTGGTCTCCCAGTCCCCAGCCTTGTTTAGCAGATAAAAAAAGGCAATAGAATTTAATACATTAGCATTTCCAGTGTGTTTAAAGGGGCTTCAGGGCTCTCTCTAGCCTAGGGCAGAGCAGAGGTCTGGTCTGTAGCCCAGCACAGCCCATCTCTGCTGTGAGCAAAGTGCCACCATCCACCCTTTCCAGGGAAGGTGAATCCATGTTTGCTGCTGCTGGAATGGGATTTGGTTGTTAACATCCTCTTCTGCTCCTTCTCATAAGGAAACTCCATTAATGACTAAACCCCAACCCTAATTGTCAGGAAGGATATGGGATAAAACATTGTTATCAGATCTTGTCAGCTGCAGCACTCTGGGGTATCCCTAGGGAGACCTGGTGAGGTGCCACAACTTGATTAAGGGCTTTGCATTATAACTGAGCTCATTGCAGCAGAGATCCATCTGAAGGGAGCCAAGTAATGGGACATGAATCCAGATGTGGTTTTGCTATATGTAATGGCCCTAAATTCCCCAGGGCAGGTCTGTGATTGGAAATGAGTGAGCCATGCACAGGGAGTCACATGTGACACGCCAAGAGCCAGCTCAGTGTATTTTCTGTTGAATTTCAGTCTCTGGAGAGGCTGGGGGCCAGTGTGAATGTGCTGTGAATTTGGGTGAGAATGGTGCTTTTCAGGCTTTGGGAATGTCCCTGATGTTCCATGTTAAGGTCTTAATACATTGCACTGAAAAGTGCACTATACCATCTCCAAGCTTCTTTTCAAAGCTCTTTTTCCCTATCAGAACCATCCCTTTCCCTGCCAGAACCAGAACCATGCCTTTCCCTACCAGAACTATGCATTTCCCCGCCAGAACCATGCATTTCCCTACCAGAACCATGCCTTTCCCTGTCAGATCCATGCCTTTCCCTGCCAGAACCAGAATCATGCCTTTCCCTGCCAGAACCATCCCTTTCCCTGTCACCAGGCTTTGTACACGTGTTCCCTCACAGCCCGCTCTCCAGGGGCTCTGGGGAGCACTGTCCTGGCTCTGTGCAGCAGTCCTTCTTTCCTCTTTTTCCTTAAATTTTCTAATTTTTCCCAACTTTCTAACACTTTCTGGGTCTTCTGCAGAGGTGACTGAGTTTTTTAGGAAGCCCTCGTGTCAGCAATTGTTGAAGATTGCAAGGCAAGTTGTTTTCCATTGCCATCTGTATGGCAGATTACCTTTGTCAAGTGGGCAGTTTGCCTTATCTCTCTCTTTGAGTGACCACAATCACACCTCCCTCGGGAGGGGACATTGCTGATAACAGCTATGGAATGTCCCTGCATGGCTGATAAGAACTACAGCATCCCATTGGGAGATGTGAGCCCAGAGGGAGGAGCCAAGCATTCCTACCCAGATATAATCCAGAGGTTTTGAGACACCAGCACAGCTTCTCCACTGGATTCCCCAGAGGAGCAGCAGCTGCCTCTCCTTCCACTGGATCTTCAGAGGAAGAATACATCCTTCTCTACAGGATCCCTGCTCCAGCAGAACCACCCCTGACACTGCAGGAGGGCTGAGCCACAATTCCAATGGGACTGCCACCAACACCCTGACCCACAGGGTGTCAGGTTGGGCTCTGACTCTGTCAGTGCTGTTCTAGTGTACTGCATTGTTTATTTTATCCTTTTATTTTTTCCCTTTCCCTATTAAAGAACTGTTATTTCCTGCTCCCATATTTTTGCCTGAGAGCCCCTTAATTTAAAATTTATAGCAATTGGGAGGGGTGGGGAGGGTTTACATTCTCCATTTCAGGGGAGGCTCCTGCCTTCCTTAGCAGACTCCTGGCTTTCCAAACCAAGACAGCAATTAACAGCTTGGGGTTCAAAAAAGCACCTCCCAGGGACATTGGTGTGGTGAGTCCATCCCCTGCTGCAAGGGGCTGGATGGGTGACCCTGAGCCTCAGTCTCCATGTTCAGATGCTTTTTTACAGCCATGTAAGCTTCCATCCTTCTGCTGTCGTGGATACAGGCATTGAATAATTGAAAGAACAGTAAAATAATAATAACATGGCAGTCAAAATGGTTGAGCAACAGGTTTTACACAAACTGAAGGCGTACAACCTGGACATCTTGAGAACTTTTTTAGCTTACATCTTTCTTTCCAAGTGGTGTAAATATGTCTTTTATACTTCTCCTGTCTTGACTGAATTTCAATTAAATCTGCTCTTTGCTTTTTTATGGCCAGGGAGCTCCCAGGAGGCCAAAAGCCGTGCAGAAACAGAAAGCCTGATATTCCCTACTATTTCTTTTCTTCCCACTCGTCCACATGTCATTTCCTTGCAGGCAGTGGTTCTGAGGCACTTGGGGAAACAAAGGAAAGGCACATCAGCCTGCCTGCTGGCAGCATCCTGTTCCTGAGCCAGCAGGTCCCAGCCATTCCGTGGATGGAAAATAAACACCAGCCTCTGTGTGTGCTCTGTGTTCCCATGCAAACCCTGGGACCAGCTGCACTGCAGCCACTGAACTGCTCCAGTCTCCCTCTGGCTCTGCCTTATCTGAGCAATGACCCAGTGAAGGAGTCAGGAGCCTTCCTAGCAAACCCCAGTGCTGGCTGTGCAGGAAATGCCATCCCATTTCCACTGCAAGGAAATGATGGCTTTCAGATGTTCTTGAGGGAAGTATGTGTTGAGACAATTTCTCTAACAGAACCTCGTTGCTGTCAGCAGCAAGAGGCTGCCTTAATGCCTGTGCCTTGGTAGAAGCAGTTGAGGGTTTGTTTCCTGTTGGTTTGGTTGGGTTTTTTTTTTTTTGTTGGTTTTTTGGGGATTTTTGGGCTTTTTTTTTTTGTTTGTTTCTTTGTTGGTTTTATCTTTGGAAATACAGGGAGCAGGCTGGGCCATTTTTGTGCTAATAAGCCCAGAAGTCACATTGTGGGAACAATGCAAAGCTAATTGACAGGAGTTTTCTCAGGAGTTTGCTTCACATGGACCCAGTGTTCCCACTTCAGTGCTCCTGTCCAGTTAACCAGCATAAGGCTTTATTAGGAATGGCATTTGGGAAGCTAGAGGTCAGTTGGTTGGTTCCTAGTGTGTGGAAAGCCTCTTCTGTGCTCAGAGCATCCTTCTCCATGTCTTGGGACTCCTTGCTGTCCCTTTCAGCCCACAGCATTTGTGAGCAGCTGCAGCTCTCTCTCTCTCCCATAACTCTTTGCCCAGAGCAAGTCTAGCCTGCCACAGGTCTGGCCTTGGCTGCTCTTCCCTCCTGTGGAAATGTGTGTGGACCCTCCTTTCTTTCCCTCTAATTGTTCTTTTTATCCAGCAGAGGAAGGTGCCCCTCACACCCCACACTGCATTTCTCCAGCTGCTCTCCTCAGGTTGTAGGGTCCCAAGGGGGCATTTTCAGTGGTTCCTCCATCCTGACATTCCTGGATTTCAACAGTGTCTTTTTTCTTCCCTTCCCACCACAGGGACATCCTGAAAAGTGGAGGCTCAGCTGTGGATGCTGCCATTGCAGGCTTGATCTGCACTTCAGTGATGAACCCCCAGAGCTCAGGCCTGGGTGGTGGGGTCGTTTTTACCATCTATAATGCCAGCACAGGTATGGCCTCTGCATGGTGCCCTGTCCCTCTGCAGATACTCAAATCAGAATCCTGCCTGCTCTCTCAGCAATATTTTGAATATAAAAGCTACATCACAAAGCACACTTGTGCTCTTAATCCAAAGCATCCAGCACAGGGAGCTGTGATTGTCATTTCACAGCAAGAAATGTGTGTGGAGGAAAGAGCTTTGATAGAAAATGAGCTGGGTTTGCCCCTCCTTGCCCCTCCAAGGCAATCCCAAAGTCACACCATCCCTGCAGGCAGGTGTGAGTGGCTGAGAGAAGCAGACAGGAGGGGTTTGTGCTGGCAGTGCTGGGCTGGCAGTGCCAGCTGAGCCCTGGGATGGCACCTGAGGGGTTTGTGCTGCCCCAGCAGCTCTGGCAGTGCCTGCTGGCCCTGGGGCTGTCTCACCAGGGCTGCTGTGACTCCCCAAAGCAGTGCTGACACCTCCTGTCCCAGGAGATGCATCTCCACTTCAGAAATCTAAACCTGGCAATGTTCCGTGTCTGCTGGGGAGCCTTTCTGTGTTTGGCTTAAACTCCACTGTTGTTTTGTTGCTTTTATGTCTTCAACGTGGGAGTTTTTAAATCTTGGCTTCCAAAAACCCCCAGAGCTTATATATCTAATAGTAATATCAACAATAAGCACTGTAACAATATAATCATTTTAAAATCCCTGCCAAGTAGTTTCATCGAGTCACAAATCTGGAATTGGGTGTATCTTATGCAAGAGCCTAATTTGGCAGACCACCTATGTTTTTTTTCTTTTTTCCTTTTGGCAGACCACCTATATTTTTTTTCTTTTTTCCTTTTGGCAGACCACCTGTATTTTTCTCCTTTTTCATTTTGGCAGACCACCTATATTTTTCTCCTTTTTTCCTTTTGGCAGAGCCGTGGAACTTTGTTTCCTGACAACAATCCTCCTGTGCTACCTGAGTTGTGCTGCTGCACAGAGCTGAGGCTCTGGGTACACCAGGGAGCACTGTGGGCTCCTGCAGCACAGCTGGCTCTGAGACTGTGACAGGGACAAATACAAGGCAGAGAAGGAGTAAAGTGATAGGGTAGAACTATGAGTGTATGCAAGTGGGGGTTTGGGTTTGTTTTTGTCCTTTCGAGCTCCCTGATACATAGAGGCCTTCAAATATGATGGACTTGCCTCATCATCATTTGGTAAATGGCCCTCCCAGGAGCATGAGGCTCACATCGTGCCTCTGACATGTCCCATCTGTAGAAGTAGTGCAGGAACCTGCAGGTGTGAGGCAGAATATCCCAGCCATGCACCCTGGGGGGATCCTTCACTGCCTGGCCTTCAGACAAGCCCTGGCCTTCTCCCGGTACTTTCAGTACCTTTGGTGGGCATTGCTTGGCTTGCTCTAAATTAAAGCACAGGAATCAAGGACAAGTTGTGCTGACACCTGACCCTGCAGGTGCACTTGGCACACCTGGCAAAAGGCTCCAGAGCAGCTCAGCTCTGGACCAGCAGCACGTGCAGTGATGACTGAATGGTGATGTTCACCTGCTTCAGGAGGAAAACATGATGTATTTCCCTTCTCTTCTTTCCAGGGGCAGTGGAGGTGATCAATGCCCGTGAGACAGTCCCACGAGTGTTTCCTCTCAACCTCTTGTCTGGCTGTGGTGTTGGCTTCCCCATTGGTAAGGACACAGCTGTGTGCCCTCCTGTGTGCACAGAGCTCAGGGTGGGGACCTGAGCACCTCACTGGCTTGATCTGCAGTTCTGTCTGGTTTAACACCCTCTACCTGGATTGCTTTTTGCAAAAGTAACTAAAAAGATTAGGGCCATAAACATAAAAAATTCCTGGCAACCTGACCAGCCAGGCAATGGGGAGCCAGCATGAGGAGAAATCACAAGGTAACTTCTCTCTGTAGGAAGTCTGCAGTTCAAGGCTGGATTTCCCTAGGCTCTCATTCCCCAGAAGTTCTTACAGAGAAAAATAAGATCAATAGCTTTTGGGAAAAAAGGAATCAATCTTGTGTGCTTGCCATGTCCACAGATGGGGGAAGCACGCTGGCACAAAGGGGTTGGGTTGCTGGGCTCAGGCACTCTTGCTTTAGCAGCACATCTTGGATCTTTCCACATTTCTTGCTGTGTTCATTCTCCTTCCCTGGAATGTTATCTTTTGGGGTGTATCCTAGATTCTGGAGATGTTCTTACCCTTGGAAGAGCCTGAAGAGGAATCAGGAGCAGCTCTGGTTGGAAGGGACAGCTGGAGTTCTGCTGAAAGCAGGGTGATGTCAGGTGTTGCTCAGGCTGCCCAGGGTCAAAGAAGGAGCGTGTCAGACATGTGACAGCTGGTCCTCTCACATTTTTTAATTTCCCCAGGGATGGAGAATTTCATTGCTTCCCTTGTTCTGATGTTTTCCCAGGCCCCACCCCAATGGAGAGCCATTTCTCCAGTGTCCAGCTGCCACCTCCCTTGCTGCTGCCCCTGCCTGTTGCCTGTTATGTTTTCAGCACACCTCAGGCCTGGCTCCAGCCTCTCCACACCCCTGCTGCTCAGTAACAGGGAAACACATGAACAGGAAAAGGCAATTATCAAACCCAGCCTGCTTTTAGAAGCCTTGGTTGCCTCTACCAGCCCAGACTTGGACTGGAGAGCTTTCAGAGAGGTGGGACCCCCAAACCAGTGCTGTGTGGGTGTGACAGTGCTGCTGTGCTCCCCAGGTCCCCGCTGGATTGGTGTCCCTGGAGAGCTCCAGGGTTATGAGGAAGCCCACAGGCGCCACGGCCGCCTGCCATGGAAAGCCCTGTTTGAGCCAACCATCAAGCTGCTTTCAGAGCCACTGGTCATTTCTCCAGTTCTGGAAAAAATTCTCCATCACCCAGCCTTCTCTGGACCAGGGAAAAGCCTGTGGTAAGAGCCATGGATGACACTGCAGGGTGAGGGCCGCTGCTCCCTCAGCTCCAGACCCTTTCTCTGACGTTGGAAAGCACACAGCATGCATAATCCAGATCAGCTCTTGGTAGGAAAAAAATGTCATTGGCTTGGGCAAGAACTGTTGTAAAAGTGATGTGTCGGGATCTCTAACTGGTCAGTGACCCCAAGAAAAGTTCCAAAGTCTCTTTTCCCAGCCCAGTGCTCAAGGAAGGAGTCAGGGCTCTTCATTTCTCGGTCTCAAGGTTGTTCATTGTTTCTTATCTATAAAAAATTTTCTCCTGCCCTGCTGAGGTCGGTCCAGCAGGACAGTTCCAGGCACTCTGCCTGCCCCCAGGGCGGTGTTGTGTCTTTATACTAAAAACTACGTGTACAATGTTTACAATTCCTTCCCAATACCTATCACCTATGTTAGACAGTGAGCTTCTACTCTAAACCAATCTGTAAGTGCCACCATCACAGCAGAAGATGGAGGCCAAGAAGAAGAAGGAGAAAGGCTGGACACACCCAGTTCCTCCATCTTGCCTCCTGAACCCCCATACCAAACCCCCAAAATCTACTTTTCCACCCTGTGATAACTTCACTATTATTCTACCTAAACTGTTGTGGCTTGCTGATCTTCATCTAAGGTTGGTAATTTGCTCCATGGGTCATAATCAAACCCACAGGTGTTTTGGGCTCTGTGCCAGGGTCTCGAGCCCCCTGGCAGGGATCCTGGCCATCCTGGCCAGCCAGAGGGATGTCCTGGGTGCTGACAGTGATGGATGTTCTTGTTGAACAGCCCGCTGCTGTGTGCTGGTGGCAGATTCCTGAAGCTCGGCGAGTCATTCCGGTGGCCAGCGCTGCAGCGGACGCTGCGGGCCGTGGCGGAACACGGAGCTGCTGCGTTCTATGAGGGGGAGATTGGGAGGGCCCTGGTGGAGGACGTCAGCAAGGCTGGTGAGTAACAGCTCCAGGGAGTCCTGACACACATAAAAACTGGCCTTTCTCCCAGCCATTGGGTCACAGAGAGCCTGGACCAGGGGGAAGCCAACCCGTGCCATTTGTTTGTCACTTGGGGTGGTGCCTGACATGGGAAGAAGCCACCTTTTCCCAGTTCCTGTAACTTAGGCCCAGAAGCAGGGCTGAGACCACTCCCTGCTCTGGCTTTGCCCACTGTGCTCATACACTCGCGCCTCTGACTCCTTTAGGCTTTGTGACATTTAGAGAGGGAAGAGATCAAAATCCCACACTCTCCCTCTGTTTTCCCATCCAAAGAAGCCCAGCTTTTCCCCAAGTCACAGATGAAATCACAGCATGGCACAAGTGCTGCCCTGCCTGCCCTGCTGCTCTCTGCCTTGGGGTGCAAAGCTCTCCCAAGCACAAGCTCAGGGTGACTGCACCAACACTTCCTCCAGCCTGCACACTGTGAGAGAGCCTCCCATGGGGGCAGGTGTGATTTCCCTGCTCCTGGCACCAACAGCTTCAGCTGAGCTCCCTGGAGGTGCCTCTCCCTGTGGTGAGATGGGGTTTGGCAGGACATGAGGATGTGTGAGGGCAGTCCTGTGCTGGGTGGGAGGAATTTGAGCTCCTCACAAGCTTTACCAAGGCTCTGCTGCAGGCAGATCTGAGTTTCTGTGCTAATGGCAGCTCCTGGGTCTCTCTCTGTTGAAGGGTCCAGTCTCTCACTGGAGGACCTTCGAGCGTACAAAGCACAGCTGTCCTCAGCTCTGAACATCACCCTGAACAACCACACCAAAGTGTTTGCTCCAGGACCACCCATGGGAGGTGCAGTGCTCATGTTCATCCTCAAGGTATTGGAAGGTAAATTCCTAATGGAAAGGGGTCAGCAAGGGGTTTTCAGAGAGTGTTGCTCCAGAGTGATAAAATGCAATGGGCAGAAATGGAGTTTTTGAGCCAGAATGGGGCCCAAAGCAGCAGTGTGACCATGCTGTGCAGCAGGAGGATGAACTGGTTCACTTGTACAGTGGGTCAGCATCACCACAGCTGCTGCAAAGGCAAAAGGATGCATGGCTTTCCCAATGCTTCAAAAGAAATTGAAGTCACAGTGGAAATTAGTACTTGGTTCTTTCTGCATCCACATCCTTCTAAAGCAGAAGGGAAACCTGGTAAGAACTGGGATGGGAAGAGGAGGCTCCTTTCAACCTTTGTTTTTTTTACACTTCTTGAAAAAACAATGCCTCTGGTCTATTAGCAAAATTATTCCATCCTGCTCCACAGAGTATAAATTCCACAAAGAATCACTGGCAACACCTGAGGAGAAGGTAGAAACCTATCACTACATTGCAGAGGCCCTGAAGTTTGGCAACATGCTGAGACCCCACATGAGTGACCCAGCCTTCTCTGAAGCCCAGGTGAGCTCCATGGTGTGTGGGTACAGTGCTACAGCACCGAGCAATGCTCTGACATGCTCCTTTGTTGGGAAGATGCAACAGGAAAGCCTTATAAATATGATTGTCTGGCAAAAGATTTTGAGAATATGGAAACTATAAGTGAGATTGAAATGAAAGCAAGCTTTGAGATACCTCAGTTACTGAACAACTGGAAAACAATGGCGTGGCCAGCTGAAGATGATCCCCTTTTGATGGAACAACACCCTCTGCTTGCAGACAGCTCCAAGGGTCAGGGCAGACCCTACAGCTTGGCAGAAGGGGCCCAAAGAGGAGTTTTTAGGGTTTAAAATGTAGCACAGTATGGAAATGTAATGATTCTTATAGGCTGTATGGAAATACTATAGGATTTGTATCTTGTACTAGATTGGTTAGTGAGAATCAGAATATTCAACACAGAAGGAGATTTATTGTATTGTAACGGGAACTTCACTCCCTTACCCTTTTACTCTCTTACCCCTTTTACTCTCTCACCCTCTCATCCTCTCTCCCCCTCTCTTCTCTCAGCCCTGCTCCAGCTCCCAGCAGGGCCCTGTACCCAGGCCCTTTGCAATGAACCCCAAGTTCCTGACCTGGCCTCAGAGATCTCTGGTGTCTGTCCATCCCAACTGTCCCACCCCCTGACACTCCTACACTCCTTCTTTGCAGCCTGGAAGGAAAAAAAAATCATTAGAGCTGCTACTGAAGAGCAATACAGCAGAGTTGGCCAAGGCAGGATCAGGATCAGGATCAGGATCAGGATCAGGATCAGGATCAGGCTGTTACTCTGCAGCTTCAGCTGCAGCTGGCCCTCACTTGCCTGACAAAGGCTGTGCACATGCTGAGGTGCCCTGGTGCTGAGCTTGGTCCATTTTCTGGGATGAGAGCGGCCTGGGGCTGAATGCTGCCACCCCAAGCTCTGGCTATTGGGGCTCAATTGCTGAGCCCAAGGACAGGCCCGTGCTTTGGTGCCCAGCTCAGTGTCCTTGCTGTGCTGGCAGGTGCCTGTGGAGACCCTGCTGTCTGAGCAGTTTGCTGAGTCTGCCAGGCAGAGGATAGATGCTCGTGGTGACCACCAGCTGAGCCACTACAGCCTGCTGGAGCCCCTCCTCAGGGAGCAGCACAGGAGCCTGGGCACGAGCCACATCTCCGTGCTGGCTGCAGACGGCAGCGCCGTGTCGGCCACCAGCACCATCAACTACCCGTGAGTAACCGCACTGGGGACACTCACACAGGCTGGGCCAGCTTCACAGGGCACCTGGGAGGGCTGGCTGGCAAAGCAAAACCTCTGGGCTTCACTGGTTTAGACAGCTTCTGAGCTGGGAGTGTTTTGTGGAGATAACCAAAAACTCCACAGCTTTGTGGAAGTTGTAAAGCCGGTTTGTTTATTACAGCGCCGGACGCATGCGGAGATGACTCTCCTTAGAAGACATGCTCTCCTTAAAAGACCTGTGTACTTCTGGGAACTTCAGGTCCCTTTTTATCCCCCTCTGTAGCAGACTCCATAGAGCTTACTAGAGCTCCATGGAGGATTGAGACTTAACAGTAGGAACTGCTGAGTCCTGATGAGACAGCAAAATAAGCTCCTGTCTTCTACCCCTCGCCCCATGGCTTATCTCTGTAACCTCATAGGCCACTTTTCCCCTAACCCTTACTATTGGACAAGTTTGGATCCCCCTATACCCTATAAAAAGGGGCTGTTTTAGCCCATTTGACAGAAGAAGAGCTGTCGCTGGACCCTTCACAGACTCCCCAATAATCCATAGCTGTGGAACCGCCAGGACCTCTCCTTCTCCTCTCTTGCATCTGCTGCAGCCTCAGCCAAGGGGTCCCAACCTAGCAAGCAAAGAGCTGATATCCTAAGAGAGCTGAGAATCACTAAAGAGCTGAAATCAATGAGCTTGCTAAGGGTAGCCATAGCTGCAAGCTGACTGGGTATTCGGGCACTCTGTCTCCCAGAGGGACTGAGGTATCCAGACTATCCTGCATCGCTCAGTGATAAGGCCAAGATCGGGGTCTTATCCCTCTCTCAAATACATATGCATACAATTTCACAACAGGTTCATGCATATTCATTTTTACAAATACATATGCATACAATTTCACAATAGGTTCATACATATTCATTTTTGCATATTTCACGTGACATTTGCCCACTAGTTCTTTATCAGACAGAATTCCTAGGTCAGGCTGACCTGCTCTCACAGCAGTCTCTGTCTCTCTGTATCACCCTCTGTCTCCCTCCCTTATCCCCCCCTGTTCTTCACTGAATCAGTTTCCCTGAGCCTAGGCTTTGCAGTCAGGCTACACAGCCATGTTTTCTTTTCTTTTCTAACCACAGACTCAAAGATGAACATTTCACCTAAATCAAAATGGATTTCAACTCTGGAGAATTTCTACTCTGTCTCAGGAGTCCCTTTTTCATGTGACAGCCAAGATCCATGAGCATCAGCTCCAAGGGCTGCCATAATTCATGAGGATGCAAGAACCTGCTGAGGCTCTTGCTGAATTTCTGTGGCACCAGTAACAGGAAACTCATCTCTGTCACCAGCAGCAGCACAAATTCCCTTTGGACACCCTCACTGGGACACTTGCAGGCTGGGAGGAGGCACAAGTTACTCACAGGATGCCATGTGCAGTAAATATCATCCACAACAGGAGAACCCTGGGCACTAAAAGGCTTCATCTTTCCTCCCTGCAGGTTTGGCTCCCTTGTGTATTCCAACCAAACTGGGATCATTTTAAATAATGAACTTGCTGACTTCTGCATAGCAAACAGAAGCATTAAACCAGGTGAGCATCCTCATCCTCAGAATAAAGCACAGGGCCAGGGGATGGACACACAGGCTGTGTGCGAGTGGGCAGGTGTCACAGACATGTTTTATGAAAAATCCTTTGCTTAGAATTTTTCCTCCTGAGAAGCTGAGAGGCCTCAGGAACAAAATGTAAACATTGATTATCTGCTGCTGTGGAATGCAACAGGTGCATCTGGGATTGGTCTCATGTGGTTGTTTCTAATTAATGGCCAATCACAGTCCAGCTGTCTTGGACTGTCTGAGAGTCACAAGATTATATTATCATTTCCATTTTCTTTCCTTTGCTTTCAAGCCTCCTGATGAAATCCCTTCTTCTATTCTTTTAGTATAGTTTTAATATATCATTTTAATATAATATATATCATAAAATAATAAATCTAGCCTTCTGAAACATGGAGTCAGATCCTCATCTCTTCCCTCATCCTGGGACCCCTGTGAGCACCACCACAGGCAGGAACAACCTGTAAACTTACACTTGTAAGTTTACACTCTTTCCTTTCCTACATCTGGATGAGAGGAAGTTTATTTCAGACTAAAAGAGGATAAAGCTGTAGTGAGTCTGTGTCTACCCACATATCTCCTTGTATGGAAATACAGGAGTTTTGGCTTCTAGCCAGAGAAATCAGAGGTTAAAAAAAAAAAAAAGCTGAAGCTGATCACTGGCTGATGGGAAGGGAAGAAGTGGAGAAACTACTGCTAAAAGAAGCCTGGTGATATTTTAGGCTCATGTCTGATTCTGAGTACAGAGCTGTGCAGGCTTGCACTGAGCTCTGTGAGCTCTGTTGGTGCAGACATGGCTCTGTGCCATCAGCTGTCCCTGCTGGGAGAGGACACCAGTGCTGCTGGGACAGGATTTCTGCTGAGGGCTCCTCATCTGGTTGGATGAGCTGCAGCAAATCCTGAATACTTGTAGGATGCCCTGTCCTGCATCAAGAGAAGCTTCTTTAGCTTGTGCCAGAAAGGTCCCAGTTTCTTGGGAGATGGGCTTTCAGTACAAGGAAAATTTTCTGGAAATCTTGAGCATCTTGAGGAAGGAACAGCTTTTTTTGTATGGGAGACAAAATAAAGGCAAGGTAGATGAAGCTGTACTCCTCCTATCCTGTTCAGAGCCACATGGAAAGAATAATATCTCTGCTTCTGCTCTAGGAGAGAAGCCTCCCTCAGCAATGGTGCCTTCCATCCTCCTCTCCAAGTCAGGGGACATGCTGGTGATTGGAGGAGCTGGGGGGAGCTGGATTATCAGTGCCACCACCATGGTAAGTGAAACCCACAGCAAGCTGCCAGGTTTTCCAGCCCTCCCAGATTTCTAACCATGGTCAGTCCCTACTGACCTCTCCTTGCATCTTGACTCCTTGGTGCTTTTGTTAATTTGCAATTTAGAAGTCATTAAAAGTTGAGACTGTAGGCCAGGGAAAGCATTCTGGGAAGTATTACATGCTCATCCTGTTCTTTTACTTCCCCCAGAAGTCACCACAAAAGCAGGACACCAGGCTGGCAGGCCCGTGGGTCTGGCTCAGTGCAGCCTGGCTTGGACAGCCCAGGTTCCATGTCCAGCTGGGCAGTGTGGGATTTGATTTATTTTATTGCAGGCAATTATAAACAAGCTGTGGTTTGGTTATGATTTGGAACACGCCATCTCAGCTCCTGTCATGCACACCCAGGGGGACCGTGTCCTGTTTGAGGACTCTTTCAGCAAGGTGAGTGGCCTTGGTGGGGAGCAGATTGCTTTGTAACTCTCCTGGGTAATCTTTATTTTGCCTCTGGCTCACCTCCTTCCTGTTTAAACCTCAATTCCTCAGCCAGGCTCCACACACACATCCTCCTGTTTCACACCTGGCAATGTTGAGATCTCAGGCCCCTGCCCCATTCACTCCATTTCCTCTTCTCTCCCCCCACAGGAGGTTAAGACTGGCCTGCTGGGAAGAGGACATAAAGAGAAGCAAGATAAACTTGCAATGAATGTTGTACAGGGAATTTCCAAGGAAGGAAAGTGCATCTCTGCTTTCTCTGATAAAAGGAAGCTGGGGAAGTCGGCTGGGTATTAGTGTGAAATGCCTTCACCATCCACAAAGCCACAGGAGATCCAGAACATGCTTTGCTTGGATTTGCCCATAATTCCCATCAGGATGTCTCCTGGAGCATGGGCACAGCCTGGGATTGCCTGCAGGTCACCCCAGGCAATACAAGGAGAGGTCAGCCAGCCTTGTTTAGAGCTACACCTTTCATTATGTGATGCACAGAGAACACATTTCTTGAGCACATCAGTTACTCAGAATGAGAGAATACAAAGTGTGGAAGGAAAACTGGTCCAAACCCCACTGAGATCACTGTGAAGTGGCCCAGCTGCATCTTCCATTCCTGATGGAATCTCAGTTTCTTTCAGGCTGTTCCACAATAAGCCTATTGCTGGGGCGCAGCAATGTGAAATACAGAAGTATTTTAGCCATGAACAAGGAGCATCTGTAGGGTCAGGATTTTAAAATCTGAAGCATTCAGGCTTAGAGCATGGATTTGGAGAGGGAAGATATCAAAATTCCACACTCTCCCTCTGCTTTCCCATCCAAAGAAGCCCAGCTTTCCCCAAGTGGCCAATGAAATCACAGCATGGCACAAGTGCTGCCCTGCCTGCTGCTCTCTGCCTTGGGGTGCAAAGCTCTCCCAAGCACAAGCTCAGGGTGACTGCACCAACACTTCCTCCGGCCTGCACACTGTGAGAGAGCCTCCCATGGGGGCAGGTGTGATTTCCCTGCTCCTGGGACCAACAGCTTCAGCTGAGCTCCCTGGAGGTGCCTCTCCCTGTGGTGAGATGTGTCTGTGCCAGCTCCCCCTCCTTAACACTGGTACATCAACTTTTGGGTCAGGAAGGCAGTGGAAATGCTGCTTTTGGAAGCTTTAGAACTTTCTTCAAATTGCAAAGTATCCGTGATCAGGAGATGTCATTTGCAGCCCTGAGCCCAGCCTGGCCCTGAGCTCAGCCTTCTCACCAGGACTGCTGAGAAGTGATGCAGCTTTATCAGGCATTAGCAGAATTCTCCCATATCCTCCATGCTCCAAATCCCCGTTTACCACAGCCTTCTGTCTCTAGTGTTCCCTTCAGACCACACAGAGGGCATTGTAGGACTCTAAGAACTATCACAGAAAAGGAAAACTTTTGGAGAAGAGAAGACCTGAACACAAAAGGTCCTGGATTTTGCACCTGGATGCAAAAGGTCTGCAGTTAATCCATAGCCTTGCCCTGCTCAAAATTGCCAAGAGAATCAAACGTTCATGAAAATAAAGCCTAAAACTCAGAAAAACCCCAAAGTTCTTCAAATATACAAGGTCAAATTCCCAGAATCTTCCAAAATTCGATTTTCTGAAAGCTCCTGAGCCTGATTGCCCTATGGGCACAGTGTTGTGTGTCTGAGAGACAAAGAAACCAGAGCCAGGCACTAGCAGAGCCTCCCCCTCACACACAGAGCCCATGGGACTCCCTGGTCTCCAACAAATAGAATCCCTCTGTAAACATAAAACAAGCACACACCATTAAAAAACACAAATTAAAACAAGGCCAGCTGGATTTTACGCCAGTGTTTTTACCCACAAAGCCCGTCCAATAAAGCCATCCATTTACTGAAATCTCAGCCTTCACTTGCATTTTAGTGATGGTGGGAGTGAGGCTGCCCAGAGCCAGACATGTGTTTTCCTTCACTAGTTGTACCCCAAGGACTGCAGCACTGCCCTGCTGCAGCAGGGGATGATTGATGAGTTACCAGGTCCTGACCACAAGCTGGAAATCGAGTTTCCCATGGATGGAGCCAGCTCCATGCACTGCCCTGCTCCCTCCTTGGCCAAGTGGAATTCATCTTATATCCCCCAGCTCAGGAAGAGCTGCTGGAGGGTTCTCCATCAGAGAGAATGGTTTCTCCATCAGAGATGCTCACTCATTGTGGAGGTGGCCTGGCAGCCTGAGAGCAGCATCACAGTGCTGGTGAAGGGGAAAGGAAACAACCCCAAAAGCCGAGGAGCAGTTTTTATGTTCACTTTGGCTATGACCATCATAGAAACCAAATCTAGAGCTAATTTGCTGAGGTTTTCTGCCTTGATGAACGCCCCTGTCCCAGCTGGCAGCTCCGGGGTGCACGGTGGTGGTGTCAGGAATAGCAGCTGACACGGGAAGCCCTGACAGGCACCAGACACGTCTGCAGCAGCCCCAGACACAGCCCAGACAGGATGCTGGCTCTGGCAAGATCCGGGGTTATTTCCAGCTAACCCCACCGAGCTGGGAGCTTACAGCAGCAGCTGAGAGTGGCACTGCTGGAGACAGGGACAGCACCCCCAGCTTCCCTGCTGGGCCACCTTCAGCACCCTCTGGTCCCTCTCCATCCTGTTTCACTGCAGAAAACCCAAGTCACCAAGTAACAAAGTCTTCCATTACCTTTGCTTCTGACACAGCTTAGGGTGAAGCACCCTGCAGCACTCCAGCCTGTCACCTTTCCAGCGCAGCAATATCACAGCTTCTTCCCACCACAAAGACATGGCAATATTATCTTTAGTCCAGCACTCACTGCAGTTTAACTGCTTTGCTATTAACTTTGCAAGTGAGCCAGTGAAGCAGTTTAAAAACCCATCACAGATTTAATTTGCAAGACAGAGGGGAATGGGAGTGCAGATCTCTCAGCACAGCAGAGACTTCCAGAATACCTGGTGAAGCTGAGATTGTACCTGCTTTGTCATCTCTGCTTTTACCCTGTCACCTCCTCACTGCTGCTGAAATCTGTGGATCAAGAGCCTCTCAGTTTGGTCTCTCCACATTCCTGCTCCTCCCAACAAAAGAGCATTATTTTTGTACTTAAATCAACTTACATGGACTTTTAAAGCATCATTGTACAGATGCTGCTCTATTTTCTAATGAAGTCTTTGAGTTATATTTTAATAAAGTGTTTTTAAACCTGTCTGGGTTTTTCTCCTCTAAACCTGTTGCCTACCCCATCACACAAGCACAGAGGACTCCATGCAGGTGTTTCTCCAGTTGTTCACTCTGGAGCCTCAGATGCTGCTGGAGAAGCTGAGGAATGGTGCAGCTCGTGCCACTTGTCTCTCACAGCTGAGTTTTGTTCCCTTGCAGAGGCTGGGTGGTTGCCAAAAGAAACTTGTACTAATATCAGAGTGAAGAATGGGGGCAAGAGGTGAACCCTCCAGCTCGTGATCTGAATTGCCTTTTAATGGCACAGCTTCCTTCCACATCAGCTGGAATCAGCCATGGAATGTGTCCTGTTGCAGGCAGCCCTCACCACCACACTGTGTGCCCCCAGGAGCAGAGCCAGCATTCAAAGGGACATGGAATGATGAGGGACCTCAGGGACCATCTTGTTCTGCCCCTGTCATGGGCAGGGATGTCACTCACCAAATCCAGTTGCTCCAAGTGCCATCCAACCTGTCCTTGAGCGTTTCCAGGCATGGCACAGCCAGGGTTTCTCTGGATAAACCTCTGCCAGGGCCTCACTGCTGTCATAATCAAGAATGTAATCTTAATATGTAACTAAATGTACCCTCTTCCAGTTTGAAGGCATTCCCTCTCCTAGCCAGAAGATTTTCCCTGCAGCTGAAACATCCCATGTGGTCTCCAAGCAGGTGGCAGAAGTGCCTGCTCTGTGTACAGATATGTCCAAATGAGATGCAGATAACTACAGCTTGCACAAGTACCCACAGCTTTTTAAAAAAATAAGGAGTAAGTGAAAGCTGTGGCTCAGTTTAACAAATCCTTCCTCTGCAGCTGTAGCCCAGTTTAACAATTCCTTCCTCTTCTTTCCTTTGTTTTTCCTACTGCTAAAAACCAAAGAAACTTCTGCAAAGTCAAGAATTCAAATGCATTTTGTAAGAACAGTTGTAACTAGGAGTGTTTTAAGCTTTCCACAGGGGAAGCTTTTTAACACAGGTTATGAATAATAGGGGAATTTTCTGACTAGCAAGAGGAAATTCAGGAACATAAGAACAAGTGCTGCACCACAAACTGTTAGAGGCAGCCCAGCAGCAGCCACTCAGACCTGTATCAGAAATCAGGATTGTCCAACAAGCACTTCCCAGAAATCAGGTCCCTTCCAATTTTGGACTAACTGTAGTCAGATTCCAATAAGCTTATTTTGCTGTGCAGTAATTTTCTTTATTTCCCAGGTCACACCTAGCCAAGAAAGAACTCAGCTAGTCCCAATTCCAAAGGCAGCCTGACACTGGGGAGCACCAGAAGTGAAATTACAAGTGGAAAAGTGAAAGTCCTAGTTTGGCAATAAGGGGACACAGGCTTGGCCCCAGACTGGTCTCTTGAGGGAACAGGAGGGAACACAGTGAGTAGAGGTCATTTACAGTCACTGTCTTTGCTCCACCTAAAGCAGCACCACCTGTAAGAGCTCAGGAAAAGGAGCCAGAGCACACCCAGGACACATTTGGTAAAAGCTTTGGGTCAAATGATATAAGCAAACATGTATGTCAAAGTCATGACTCTGATTTAAGCATCATCTAGCTCTCACTTTATTCTGTGAGACTGGGCTCTCCTCAACTCCAGACACTTCTAGGAAAGAGGCTGCATGATGCCTAGAGCTTCAGACTTTCATTTTCTTTTCTGTATTTTGAGGTCCTTATGAACTGACAGGAAGTTTCCACAAGCCAAATAGATGAGAGAACTTACAGCCACTTGTGTATCAAGGATTTCAAGAACACCACTAGAGCATGACAACCCCTGGATCATTTGGGTTTGATCTTGGCTAAGTTTATGTGATGTGATGTATTGGTCCTGCACCAAACCCCCTCATGGAGGTACAAACACTCTCAGCTGCTCCATAACAGACAAGGATTTCTGAGAGCTCCTTAAAAGTCTGGTTAACAGTAACTTACCTTTAAACAAGAGTAGCTGCATGGTGTCCTTTTTTAGAAATTTAATTTCCTCAAACTCTGATATTTCACACCTGCAGTATGACATCATAAAATGCAAAGTGCTGAAAAACAAGCTTGTATTGGATATGTAACTATTGTTGCTTACTCATGACTTCATCAAAGCAGTGAAGAAAAAACAAAAGTCTCAGAAGAGCTTCTTTCACACAGACTCTCACCATCCCTTTTTGCAGCAACTGTGCAGGCAAGGAAAACGTGTGACTCCGTATTTATTTATTTTAGTTGTGCTCAGAGTTTTACAGGTAGCATCTTCCCTTTAGACCTTCTCAACAGAAATATAAAAAAGTTTGAAGCCATTTTCCCATTTCCCCCCTCATCTCCAAAAATCAACCGGGTGAAAATGCAGAAACATCTTTTGTTAACAGAGTAGTGAGTTTGGCTTGTCCCAGTCTAGAGCTGGGCTTCCTGCTATGGCACAGACCTATTAGTTTGTAATTTAGAAAACCCAGCCCCAGAGTCCTGTAACTCCCACCTACTCAACAGGAAACAAATATCTTCTCTAGCAGTGACAGGGACACCGTGCAGGGGAAACGCTTCCTGCAGCTTGAGTGAGCAACTGGGCACCCAATCTGTCTTTGTGGGATGGAGAGGAGGCAGGGAACCAACTCTTCAAGGCAGAACAGACTCTTCAAGTAAGCACTGCACGTCCTGGTGGACGCGCCTGTCCTAGCAGACGGCTGTGGCATGAGGCACTTCGGTCATGGCTGTAGAGAACTGTCCCAGTTCCATCAACAGAATCACAGGCAAATGCGTTCTCTTTCCTGTGAGAAGTCCCTGAGTTGCAGATCTAAAGGATCTTCCCCCCAAACACACCTCGGTGTCACTAGAGCAGGAGCAGAGCAGGTCAGTAGCCCGCAGGGAATCCGCCTTTGCGCGAGTCGGAGGCGGCGGCCC